ATTATTTGTTGCTTTTTCAAAACAACACGAAAGAAAAACCGAACTGAACTGTACACGCACTTAGCAACACACTCATTAAGATCTCTTTTTTTCAAAACAGCGCCTTCATTCACTAACAATAATCGAAATGATTCCCAACGAAATACATTAATTTTCTATTTACTATTGACTTTTGGTATTTCGCAATATAGCCTAATGAACACTGATGATTTTGCACAATTTGATTCAAGTAGTGAAAAATTTCCGAACATGCTTATAAAACTATTAAAGTGTGCGAGTGTAGGTGCAAGTGAAGAGGAGATCGACACTGGCATTCACACGTTCTAGGTACAATCACAGCTGCACATCCACAAACGAAACCATATGCGCACTCACCCTACTGTTGTGAAGATGAGAAAGATGTGATGATGTTCTCTTACTAGACAAGAGAAAAGAGGACAGATTGAATAAATGACAGAGTGAGCAGGCAGCTACTATCATTCACGAGGTCGAAGCTTCTAGTCGAATGGTGACTGAACACTCTTACATCATCCAACAGATAAAAGATGAAGAGATAACGTTTCGTAATTCTTGACATACTCGCATCCACATCCAACAAAACAGCAACACTTATTTTGCATAATTTTCGCATTTTTCTTTCTTAAAACGACGAAATTTTTTTGCAAGAAATAGATGCGGATGAATAGTCTACGACGGGAGTGGATGAGTTATCGGCAGCAATTGGTGGAACCGTCTCGCTCTAATACTTATGCGTATTCAAGGGGTCTCGTAGACTTCGTCAAATCAATTAATGATGATAATCAAAACCGATTGAAACGTACTATCAGACTCGTTTACTAGATCAGAAGTTTCAAAATTTGCGTTCGGTTATAAAAAGCTACATCTTTTGATTTTAGAATTTCATATTCCAGTATTAACGTTGAAGTAATGACAAGGGGATTTGTCAAGGTATTTTCGCTTACATGTTATTGCTACTGAAAAGAAAGACTTTCATATTTCGTTTTTTTTTACGCGGTAAAATAAGACATCAATTACTGCCAAACAACTGTTTATCATATGTAATGAAGGTGAAGACGTCGCTACATGTTTTGGATGTCAACAATGGCTTTTGTGGAAAATACTTCAACAAACATCGGCAAGAACTTGCCACACAATTGGATGATATCGGGCAAGAGTATGATCTTCTCGAACGAGATCTGATCCAAGAAAGTCTTGCACATTCTCTTCTATCTAACATCAATGATTGGGAACAAAAATCATTTACGAAGATTCAAGCGGTAGCAGTAGTAGAAAAAGCTCGAACAGATGTACGGAAATATCTTGATCACAGCAAGTAACGATTGAAAACATCTATCTTTAAAATGACTAATGGATTAAAATCAGGTCGTGAATTAGATGATTACAACAAAAATGGATGCAGAACATTGAGAAAACTCGAGAGATGCTCGAGAAACTACTAACTATTGATATTATTGATGATAACGATACACAACTAATTATTTGTCTAATTCAAGTGAAACAAGTTCAGACGATGGACAAAGCAGTCAGTTCGTCAGAACAACCTGCAATTGGAACAAGATTGAGTAAGTGATCTTTATTTTGGAACTCGTCATCTGGGATTTGAATAATCTACGAGTGATGAAATGGTTTCTTCGAAGTGGTGGTACACGTGGACAAATGATTATCTCGAATATTGTTTCTGATGAATTGACGATGGTTGATCAGGGTTTTTTCTATATCTGTGACTGCAACAAAGACAAAGACAGACAATATAGACTGAAAGAGTCTAGTATCGCAGGAGGTAACGATGCAGATGATCGTTTCGACGAACTCGATGGTCCTACGGACATCTTTGTTGATTGACATCACTGTGTGAATGTGTCACACAACGGCAATCATCCTGTAATGAAGTCGATCAAGGGTGTGAAAGAAGGAATTATCGTGGTAGGAGGTTGTGGTAAGGAAAGTAGTCTAACGCAACTGTCTAGTCCTCAAGGAATTGTCGTCGATCTGCTGGGTAGAATCAATGTGCTAGACAAGAACAATGAGCGAGTTATGTGTTACTGTAACAACGCAAAAGAGGGAAGTATCATTGTTGGTGGGAATGGTTACGAAGAACAAGTGAATCGCTTGAATAATCCCATGGGTTTGTCATTTGAGAGATATGGTAAACTCTACGTCGTTGATTATACAAATCATCGAATTCAAAGATTCAATATCGAAGAAGTTGATGTTCATCGTTGTTGAGAATCAATATCAACGAACAAGGATTTTGTCTTTGTCTACTTCATTTCTGTATGAAAGTATCTATAGTGGCTTAGACAAAATAAAGAATAAGAAAAGTAATTAAATGAGCTAAATCTCAGTCCGTATATACGTACAATAGCGCTCTAACTTAAGGGTTAATCAAGATCACAAAGAGTATGGGTGTGGATATCGAGAAAGAGTAGAATTACATTCACACCTACACTCACATCATAGTTATCTTTTGGAGAAAAGCATTTCATACCCAATAGTCTAAATAATTATTCGTTTTGTAAAAAGTATCCATTCATCTATGCAATTGATATTGGAAGCTTCGCAGCACATTTTTCAGTAGAGCAAAACTCGAATGCCCTCTTGTTCTGCTTGTCGTGATCATCTTCGACTGGAAAAGTTTTGGCGCAATCTTTTTAATAAAATTTACATTTGAATATCTCATATATAAATTATAATTCGTAACAATCAAGAAACATTTATTCATTTTTTCGCAAGTATAGACGCATACACTAGATTTCACTCATGAAACAAAGGAGATCACAATAAGCTACGATGGTTTTATAATATATACAGACACTATTACTAAAAGAAAAGATTAAAAAAATTAATAATCGTTTAATTTGCAACAAAAAATGTTTTTCTGATAAAACAATCAAAAACATGAAAAAGCAAATCTATGAATTTCATGATTGATCAGTGAACTATTTTTACGATAATGATAATTACTTTTAACAAATGCTGACTTCTTTATTTCTCATTCAAATATTTCATTGTAAGTATCCTCAAAATATTCAGCATCACAATATAGTGACAATTCAAGTTTCAATATCTTAGCCTGATATATGATGTAACTTTTACTTTAAATTGGAACCGTTGACTTTCTTCACCGATTGAGTAAAATCAAAACTATTAATATATGAGATTGCTCGAACTACTTTCTTAAGATATTCAGATAGTGTACAAGATGGTAATTTCTAAAAATAAAAAGATATTAATTACTCGATTTCCATCTCTATTCATGTTCACCGTTCTAATTACTCAAGATAATAACATTTTACTTCGTTCTCTTCAATGATTGAAATGTCTTTGATTTTTTTTTCTTTGTCAAATAATTATATTTCTATGATCTCCAAAAATACAAGAATATCATGTATTTTAACATACATTATGATCATAATTGAGTTTGCGTACTTTAATCGGTTCTCTAATAAAATTAACCAATACACCTTATTCCCTTTTTCGAAAAATCTTGCGTCGACTACAAAATCTGACAAACGAGATTTAACCTAAATATAGTTTTCTTTCTTTTTCTTCCCTGAACTGAGATAAATAAAGATGGCACTAGTATGGCGGTTTAATTTGAAGTCTGTTCATCGAGCTCTCATTATTTAAGCATGATAACGAGAAATTTATTCTTATTGTTTTTCCGAGAAAGATATAGAAGTATACGCATTTGCTTCATATGTTTATTTTTTAGAAAATAAATTAGACTTGTTCACTGACATGAATACAGACAAATGTTCTGTCAATGTTGTAAAATGGCATTAAAAAAATAAACTCTTAAGATATTCCATCAGGTGCACCACCTTTACGTATATCACAGTTAGCCCAGTATTGATTGACTTCATCACGCCATTCAATACCTTGTATAACAGAACCACC